GACAATATACAGCCTTGTCGTACTCCTTTCCCAATTTTGAACCAATCAGTTGTTCCATATCCAGTTCTAACTGTTGCTTCCTGTCCCACATATAGGTTTCTCAGGAGACAGACAAGGTGGTCAGGCACTCCCATTTCTCGCGTGAGGCTTACTCTTGAGTAAATGCCTTCGGGTATCCAAGCAGCGCTTCTTGCGTGGTTCCCCATTCATTTCAGACAGAATTACACAAGAATACACTCTGTGGAATCGTGTCCTGTATTTGGATACATGTCCCGCTGAATTGAAATCGTGTTACTTCTTAGGGTAAGGACAGGAGCAGGGAGCCTGGGGCCCTCCGAATGTTGTTGGACTACAACTCCCATCAACCCCCAGCAACAACCATGGGATGTTGTAGTCTGCCAACCAAGGAATAAACACTGGTTCCCCGAGGCTGGGTTTGGCATCAAGTTCGCATTAAATGTGCGTTCGTGTCTCCGCTAGGCTCCTTAATACTCGACCTGAGTTACGTACTTCTGGCCAACGGAGTATAAGATGGTCTCGCCGTTCAGGGAGAAACTTCGACTTTGGGCAGTCATTAAGGGGGCGGCGTGTTTCAAGAGGCATTTACTCGGAAGGAAGACTTCCGGCTCTCAGAGGGGTTTCCTCTCCTCTCCTCTCCTCTCGAACGGCATCCTCTTTCTCCTGGCGTTTCCTTTAATCTTGCATTACAAGCGGAAATCTGGACGTTTCCAGGAATCTGGATGGCGGCTTTCATATGTTTGCAAGTTTCTGACGGTCTAAATCCTGAAAGGGAATGTGGCGGGGGGGGGGGGGGGGGGGCGTTGCGGCGATGAGAGATAACAGGTAATGAAAAAAGTGCTCTCTGCAGGGTTTGATCTCCGTTGGCTCTTTCGCAAAGGAAAAGGCACCGCCGCCCCGTCATCTGTCCACCACGTGTGCCTCAGCGGTCTTCCACTGGAGCAGGTGCAAGGGAACGGGGCCTTCTCTGCGCCGGCCACCTTGATGGTTCTCACCTTGCCTTGGTTACCGGCACTGCCAACCCCTCACACACACACACCATTTTGTTTCCTCATCAGAGGTGAGCTTTCGCAGGTGCTGGCAGCGAGACAGAAGCCTTGTTATCTCGGTGTAAGTCTCTCATGGAAGTCAATGTAGCTGTTTCCAATTCCAATGAGGGCCAGGGCTAGCTGAGCCTCAGATTTGTCCATTTTGGGTTTATTTTTCCATCGGAGATGTCAAAAGTGCCTCTGAACATGGGCAGAAGACCCTTCTCTAACGAACTGATGGGTTTAATGAGGGTCGTTTCAGAGCTGTGGATAAAGCTTATACCTCTAATATAAAGTATTAAATTCAGATAAAGCAGCTTGTTGGATTAGTAGAAAAATGAGTTGGTCTAATCAAATTAATTTATTAAATTGTACAAGCCTTCTACTTCCCTCCCCCACCTGCTTTTGAGTCTCAGTGACAAACCACACAAGCTGCAGTCGCAATATTTATTTTTATTTTAAATATTCTTTACCCTGCCTTTCTCCTTAAAAAGGATCCAAGGAGGTTAACATCATAAAAAGACAATATTTCAAAGCTAAAATCAGTAAGTATACAAAGATCTTAAAATAATTTAAAATAGTAAAATCAATACTAAAAGCACATTTAAAAGCAACGAGGCACAACAGTCCATTTAAAAATCCCTCTCAGACAGCTGGTCGCTAAGGGAACGCCTGCCTGCAGAGAAAGGTCTTTGCTTGCAGAACAGCAAAGATGGGGCCAGGCTGACCCCCTATGGGAGGGAGTTCCAGAGTCCGGGTGCAGGGACAGAGAAGGCCCTCTTCCATGTCCCCACCTGACGATCTTAACACCCGGGCAGGCTCATAAAAGAAGAGGTCCTTGAGATAGCTTGTACCGAAGCCCCTTAAAGCTTTAGGACTTTATAGATCAAAACCAGCCCTTTGAATTATGCCCGGAAAGTGGATTGGCAATCAGTGGCGCTGCTGTAACAAGGGGGTTATGTGATCTTTGTAACCAGTCCCAGTCAGCGATCTGGCGGCGGCATTTCTGACTCGCTGAAGTTTCTGAACAGTTTCCAAAGGCAGTCCCAAATAGAGCGCATTACAGCAATCCAGCCAAGAGGTAACATGCAACAGATGCTACACCTTGAGGAATCCCATCCACCGTCAAGCATCTGAATTAGCCTCCTTGACACCGAGGAGGTCTAGGCGTTCAACCCTACCTTTCTCATCCGGTTTCTTGAGCCAAAGCCCCCACCATCCCTTCTTCACTCTCCATGCAAGAGAAAACACCTTCCTGGTCATCAATGCCCTAGAATTCCTCCCTGCCCCCAGGATCCTTTCTCGGTACCCCTGGTTCCCTGTTTCTTCTGTCCCCCCACACACACACACCTAAAACAAGAAAAACACCAATTTTCTTTGGGTCCTTCTCTCCTGGGTCCATCCTTTGCTCTGCCCTGTCTCTCCACGCCCCTTCTTCGGCCACTTTGCCTTTCCTTTCTGAAGGCCTGCACCCCAGGATCTCTGTCCCGCCGCCCACCCGAGGCTTCTGCCAACTTCCACCTCCCGCCAAAGGGGCAACTCTCCCTTCCCTCACAGAATTTGGCCTGCGGCCTGTTTAGTGAGCTGAGAGTGCGCGTTTCCGGCCAGCATCCTGTCACCTCCTCCGATCCGACCAGAACGTTTCAGTGTCATCGGCACGATGGCGCTGCTGTGGCTCCTGTCTGATTCTGTCACGTTTCGATCACACGAACTACAGAAGCGGGCAAGGTCAGAGAGCCATCTGTCAAGCCGAGGCCTCACGCAGGACGCCTAAACTTTTGGTTCCAGACCAAACAAAAACGTCGCTTGTTTCCTCTGCCACGAACAGCCCCAGGGAATAGCCTCCTTCAGCCGACCTCTTGCTAAACTGACTAGGTCTAGCCCGATTAGAGTCGCCTCGAAGTTACCTCAAAGCAGCGAGGAACGTTTTCGCCGCAACATAGCAGAGATTCAAAGAGCCTAAGCATCTCTAGCTCTGATTTAAACGATCGCTTTCATGAGGAACCTAAATCTCTTTCCTGAGTCCCATGCCATCCTGTTAGTGACGCTGAAAACAAAACCACGTTTGTTTGTTTGTTGTTTCCTTGGAGAGAATTTGCAGGAACCCCATATAAACCGCTCTGCGCTTCTAAGAAGACGACGAATAAGTTTATATGAACGCGCGTTGTTGAATGCATGCTCTGTTGATCAATGTATGCGATACTGTAGTCTAAGCATATGCAATAAGAACGCCATACGTTCAGATCGACACAAGTGAAGATCTTCTTTCTAACCATGTTGGCCTTGAGTTTCGAACAGAAGCCGGGCCTCCTCCCGACG